CCGCCCCATTTTTACAATTGTCTGGCAACAATTATAGGTTACTAACCAAATTACTAAATTTTAAGTCTGAAAATGATATGTTTGAGAGACACTCTATGACGAAAAATCAGCCACTGACAATCCAAACATCGTTATTCAATTCTATTTAAAGTTAAGTATGCACGTTATAGAGTGTGCTCTTGGACTATATGGTGCTGTCTGTGACCAGATTTGTTCGGATAACTGTAATGAAGAATGTGATAGAATCACCGGAGTATGCAACGGTACGTTCACTACAACATGATGTTTAACATATGCATTTATGGGTGAGTAAACGTGATACATACACACAGATCAGCAGCCTGGATCAAAACTTTCTTAATGTTTCGTTACCCTAAACGTGTTTATAGANGACATGCGGGTGTCACCATTTTTTTTAGAGGAACCCGCACTGCTACCATCTATTTCAACTCTAAATAAATTCAAATCTGGGTTTTTCTAGGATGTCAGTAGCTTTACTAAATAGTGCCTCTGTAATAATGAAGGTAAAAAAGTATGATTTATATAATAAAACGATACAAAACGAAATACCTGCTTTAATTTAGAGCATTATCTAGGGTTATCAACTTCAAAACAACTCATACGATCAGCTTGTTTGAGAAAGCACCCCGCCCCATTTTTACAATTGTCTGGCAACAATTATAGGTTACTAACCAAATTACTAAATGTCAAGTCTGAAAATGATATGTTTGAGAGACACTCTATGACGAAAAATCAGCCACTGACAATCCAAACATCGTTTTTCAATTCTATGATTTAAAGTTAAGTATGCACGTTATAGAGTGTGCTCTTGGACTATATGGTGCTGTCTGTGACCAGATTTGTCCGGATAACTGTAATGAAGAATGTGATAGAATCACCGGAGTATGCAACGGTACGTTCACTACAACATGATGTTTAACATATGCATTTATGGGTGAGTAAACGTGATACATACACACAGATCAACTGCCTGAATCAAAACTTTCTTAATGTTTCGTTACCCTAAACGTGTTTATAGACATACATGATATCAATGTCATTGAAAAGTTTGCTATTCCGGTTATATCAGGTACTTATTTATAAAAAAACATTGATAATGTGGTGCTGTATACTTANGCGTTCTGTTCACGTTTCAGAATGCCAAGCTAGATACCACGGTGCACATTGTGATAAAATTTGTCCACACGACTGCAATGACAACTTCTGTATTCAGATCAATGGATACTGTGCCGGTTAGTAAGATATGGCAAATATCTCTACTTTGATTTTTCAACCTTGTATTTAACTCTGTCGCATTTCTTCTTTAATTGATTTAATTTTGTTAACTGCTTTGCACTTTTATTTCATGAAGAACACCGGCATTCATCTAAATTTGAAAAGTATGTATCAAGGTACAAATACATTCTAGATGTTTGATAAAAATGTGTATAAAACAGACATATATATTTGACTTTAAACTTATCCTTAAAATACACGTTTAAACAAATGCTGACTTTAATAACCCTATTTAAGGTCTTACAGACACAGACAACATTAATACTGCTGCAGTCGGGATAGGTGTTGGATGTGGAATGCTCATTCTAGTTCTGGTCATCTTAGTTATTGTACAGACCAGGCGTCTCGCGATGAAGCACAGAGACAACAAGGGACCTATTCAGATGTCCGACATCTTACAACACGCCAAAAGACACGAGTTAAAGGCAGATATAGGTAATTTTTGTAATGTTACGGAAATGTCTTTTCTAGTTTTTATGTATGTGTATCAATTATATCTTAAAAGAGAATCTAATGTCCTTGAAATAAATACGGGATCGTCAACAACGTTTTGGCAATATACATTTGTTTGTTTTTAGCTTAAAAAGGTGTTACACGTATAGACATGTTTGTACCGTTTTAGTGTACTCTTGGGGAAAATATAATCATTATAATTTCAACAGAGGGTGTATACAATCATTATAATTTAAACGGGCAAAAATGCCCCTCTTCAAACAGTTACAACCTCATCCCATACTTTGGAACCAGATGTTCCGTATAATGCGTTCTGTTGATATGTAAACCCCTTTATCAAGATTTTCTGTTGAAGAAGTTTCAAGCTACGATATTTCAGTGTCTGTTGAAGTCTCGTTCCGGTATGTTACTTTTAATGCATCAACGTTGAAATCTTATGGGGTAGCTTAGTATCGATCATTTCACAGACTGAGCGTTTGTGATCAATTGATAAAATGAAGCCAGCATTAGGAAAATTAAGTTTGTCTTATACAATTGTTTGTACCCCTATATACGCTATTGCTTTGCATTACGTTAAGTAGGCGTATTGATAACCATATTTTGCTTTTTACAACATTATGAATATATTAAAAGCGTGACCTTACTTATTGCATAAGCAACGTCGCACTACGAATTAACATTTCGAATTACTTTTGTTAACTATATATTGCCCTCTCTTCACCTTTCCTTATTTCAGATGGTCTTTATGAAGTTGTAGACACTAAAAATGGGAGGCAAATTTCCAAAAGTGCCACAGCTGACGAAAATTATGAAAAACTTGATTCCCTGACTAGGACCGTCCCTAACGTGTACGATACCGTAGGGATAGCTGTGGATGCGGGATCCTAAATGCAGCGAGGATCGATTATTTCTGTTACAGTATTACTTGCTCATTACTAACTGTTGTGTGTGTTTTTAGCTTAAGTGCGGGATAACATATTGAACTGCTGAACCTTTTGCTATGTCATGTTCCTATGACGAGTATCTTACCAACTGATTTGTTTTACTTCGTCATCCATTGTGATTATTTTGTCTAAAACATACTTGAAATATGTTTCTTCGGAATATTTTCATGTCCTGCATACTGTTTAACCTGTATTCAAATATTACGTTCGGAAAATCAATATTGGTTTCCTCAACTAGATTGTCTCCCTTGGTACAGGTTCACTTTAGATGGAAATAGCTGTACTGGTCTACAATTAAAAGGATAAATGGCGGTGTATGAATAAATATTTTAGAACTGTAAACAAATGAACTAGTTATCGCATCCACGAGATAACATTTACATGTACCATGTCAGGGAGAGGGCTTGTATAGGTTTTGCCTGTTGCCCAATTCCTTTTTTAATCGGATTGATTTAATAAAACCTGTTGAAATGAAAAACATTTGTAATATGTATAGCTTTTTCGAATAAGACACTTAATGGTGAATTATACATATTTTGAAACAAACATTTTGTGATTATAAATCGGAAATGATATCTTAAGCAATAAATTATAACACATTTATCAAGTTCGAGTTTCAAGTTTTATTTTTACACTCACGCCACACGTATACATTTTTTGTGTACGTGCGTAACAAGAGGTCACATATTACATAGTATACATTGATGGACATAGTACATATATAATATGACACATGATACAATTTATACAAAAACAACCCATTTCAATAATTCTTTTAGCTAACTTATTTTAGATATTAAGAAGCTTCATTACTCTTTGTATACATTTACTTACTTTTGTTAAAATTACCGTGTTACATATTGATAACATTCCTTTCATTTTGATATAAGTTTGGTTGACATAATAATAATTTGGTATATAAAGTTGTCTAAGAGCTACAACAGATACATTAGTACATTGGTATAAGTAGTGGTATTCGTCCCCAACACAGTTATTACAAAGGGTACATAACCTTTCCTCGCGTGGGACTCTATTCAATCTTCCTGTTTCTATAGGAATTTTTATATTTGATGTTCTAAATTTACATATTACTTTTCGTTCATTACGATTAAGCTTTAAAAGATATGGTTCAATATTAAACTGAGATTTGAATAATAAGTAAACTTGCCCTCGCGAGGATGTTTCAACATCATGAAACCATCTTTAAATGAATTGATCGCATAATCTCTGCTTAATGATAGTTTTCAAGCATTGTCTATTAATTGTACATGATATTTGGAGAGTTCATAAATTATTAAATCCAGTATTGTTTAAAATATCTCGTATATACGTTAACCATTTAAAACTTGATACAGAATTCTGGTGCAAATTATACATTAACTTATACATTACACCAGATAATTTCGATCCACCCGTTATAAGCTTATGCCAGAACATAACCATTCTAACACTGGTTTTAATTTCTAGGGGATAAACGTTTCCAACTCACCATATACCATATAATTGTGGGTGCTCTTCCGAATGTTAAGAATTTCCTTACAAAACTGTAAATGTATTTTTTCGATACTTTTTGTATTTTCATAGCCCCATATTTCACATCCATATAATAAAATAGGTGACACAAGTGCATCAAATAAATTCAGTTGAAGATCTACAGGAATGGATGTTAGGACCACGAAAATATTGTATGTACTCCAAACCGATTGGAGAGATTTGTCGTCGCCATAGCCTTCGCTATCATTGCTATGCTGATGACACACAAATTTACATGGTCATAAAACCACAGGACAGTTGGAATACAGTCTCAGAAAGTCTGGAAGCTTGTCTGACAGATATCAGTATCTGGATGAACGCCAACATGCTTAAACTTAATCAGGAAAAGACGGAACTAATCGTCTTTTCCCCAAAGTGTCAGCAAACA